GTTTGAAGAATATGTGAAAGAACATGGTATTCCAGAGACTTTGCACACCGACCAAGGTCGACAGTTCGAGTCCAGATTAGTGCAAGAACTATGCAGCAAATTGGGCATCAAAAAGTCTAGATCGACACCCTATCATCCCCAAGGAGCTGGCATAGTCGAACGTTGTAATCGCACCATCAAAGATCAACTTGCGAAGTACATTTCTCATCAAGGAGGAGAATGGGACACTCACATCAATCAAGTCCAGTTAGCGTACAACACAAGTACTCATGCCTCAACAGGTTTGACGCCATACTACATCATGCATGGCAGGGAAGCCCGTACACCTGCGAACATCACCTGTTCAACCCCCCCTCCATCGTCATCTGGCAAGACACTCCTCGAATACACAACCAACCTGTCTGAGCGATTGAGAAAAGCATGGGAGTACACCATACAAAATACACGACAGCAACAGGAACAACAGAAACGACAGTATGATGTGAAGAAACGCATTTCAAAGTATGACACAGGTGACTTTGTTTGGTTACATGACCCTACCAACGTCAGGAACAAACTCGAACCAAACTGGAAAGGTCCTTTCAGAGTATCTTCCTCATCAGATGATGGACTAAATTATGACATAGTTCATGTCCATGATGAAAAGTTCAAGCGACGGGTCCATCATAATCGTTTGAAACCGCATCGAGCTAGAGCCCCACAAGTGATGTCAACTCCACCATCCCCACCAACCCCACAGCCTACGTCAATACATGGGACTGAGAGGACAACGACACAGTACCCACCAGGTCCCCCAGCAGACGACGAGACTAGGAGAAAGGTGCAGTCAAATCAACCTACTAGCCATGGACCAGCCTACATCACGTGGTCATCTCGACCACCAGATCGCATCCTCCATCACGGGCAGTCGAACCATGACCGACCATCACGGTCAAGTTTGTCTGTTCGGCAACAAGCCTCAAACCAGCCAACCAGTTCAACAGAACGCATCCTCCATCACCGACAGTCAGACCATGACCAACCATCACGGTCAAGTTTGTCTGTTCGGCAACAAGCATCAAACCAGCCAACCAATTCTGGCCACCAATCCAGGCTAATTGACTCAGCCCCACTTCAGCAACAACCTAGGCCATCACTGCCGACTACCCAAACCCAACATCAGCTGTCCTCGCCGGTTGGCCAACTTCAACTCAGACCCCAATATCAACTGAGGTCGACGACTCACCAATCCCAACTTTGGCCATCCTCATCAGCTGAGCAACCTAAGCCGTCCTCATCCGCTGACCAACCTCAACCTCAGCCATCCTCATCAGCTGACCAGCGCCAACATCAGCCGTCCTCATCCGCTGACCAACCCCAACATCAGCCGTCCTCATCCGCTGACCAACCCCAACATCAGCCGTCCTCATCCGCTGACCAACCCCAACATCAGCCATCCTCATCCGCTGACCAACCCCAACCTCAGCCGTCCTCATCCGCACGTTCGAGATCTGGTCGACAGGTTAAAGTACCCGCCAAGTTTCAAGATTACAAACTGTAAAGACTTTCGAAAACTAATGTTTGCAATAGTGATAGACGATTGAAAGACTTGCTGATTTTCACTTTTCGCTGTCATACCTTGCATTCGCCATGGCCCCATTGTTTGTGACAATATGTTATTGATAGAATTCTTGATTTTTGAACGTCTTGGAAGATTTATGATATTTTTGTAGGACTTGTCAGTAAAGATAGGATTAAATTGTCAGTTTTTAATGTTTAGACAGGAAAAAGAAAAAGACAAACTTTCAAACATTTTGTCATGTGTTTTTCCATCAAATTTGTTAGTTACACGTCAATTGGGTGAACTCCTTAATGCGCCCATCTTTTATTTTCAAAAAAAGAAGAAAGAAGACTAACATGTCAATTTTTGATTGCAATTTTGCAATTGTGCTGAATTTTAAGATAAAAAAAAAAAAAAAAAAAAAATTAAAAAATGTGAGATTCAGATTGTATTGGTCACAGGGTTGACCTGAATTATTTTACAACGATGACTATATAAATGTATCAAAGGAATTGATGTAATTAGTCAACGTGTGTACATGTACATGGGTACATTATTTTCTGAACATTATTTTTAGTCATTTGACCTATATTGATGTTTATAGATATTTGGATTTAAAACAGATTCTTGATACATGAATTCATAAGATATGTTTTTTTCGTTACATAAATCATTTGTAGTTGAGATTTTATCGACCATAGACACTGTATTTGTATAATGTCTCCTTAAATCTGGGACAGTTTTGAAAGAGTTATGTCAGAATGCATGCATATTCTCTGTGTACATTGTATTTCATAATTCAATTGGCTAACTTATTCCAAAGATAATTTTAACAGTAACTCACGAAACAGTGATATATATTTTTTTTTTTAGGTGAAGACATTGCCTGTTCATGTATTTTTTTTTATTTTTTTTGAAAATTGCCAAATTGGATATGAAAGATGGGATATTTTGTCATTGACAGAAACAGGAAAAAAAGGAAATTATTTAATGTTAATGTCTACAAATCATCAGACTGGAATTTTCAGGGTGAAAAAGGATAGAACCCATTGAAGTTGGGACGTTGCTTGAAAGATGTTCATTGATGAAAGCATACCATTTTTTTGTATTCGCTATATGTGTGACCTTTCAAGTTAAACAGTTTAATTTTCCTTAATATGAATAGATGCTGTTCCTTAAAAAAAAAAGGAAAAAAAAGAGAGAATTGTACAGAAGGAAAACTTCATGATTTGATGCGTTCAGGTATTTCAAGCAAATTTTATGTGACGCATTTTCTTCGGAAACAAATGCATGTTAATACGATGTATCTTTTAAAATGAGGACATTTTTCTGTGAAGATGGTATATTATGTAAGGTTTTAATTTCACTGATCAAAGTGGTTACTTGTTTATTTCACACTGTACATTTAGTTTTCCACTCCGATATGCTTTAGCGCACTCCTGACCTACATTCATTCTCTCCTGTCTGCTAGCTCTTGGCTTCTATTGTTCTGTCCCTATTCATTCATCCTCATGCACATTACCTGCTATAGCACCACACACACACACACTCTTCCTTATCTCTTAGCTATTCAACCCAGCACACATGGCACATGGCACTCTATCTTTTACAAGCTTTTCTATTGGTTACTTACTTATTGTCCAATCTTGTGATTGGTTATTATTGTTTGATGGACTGCATGTCAGCCATCTTGGCAGCCATTTTGTGGTTGGAATAAAATCTATAGTGCAGCTCAAGTCCTCAACCATGTGAGACCACTTTTGTTTTGTGAGGGACTTTACACAAGTAATACTTCTACTAATGATTATAATACTTAATAATGGTTCTTTTATTTTGAAATATGCAATGCAACCCAGGGGCCAGGGGGCTGAAGGTTACAATATTTTAAAAGGATCTTTAGAATAAATTTAATAAAATAATATAATAGAATCACAGCAATAAGTAAGCATTAATTTATATCTCTTTATGCTGCCGTGAATTACATGTACATGTTTGTCTTCCATTGCATGGGTTCTATACAGTCGGTGAAGGTATACTGGTAATGTATTGTAATGAAAAGGATATTACATGTACCACATACTGTAAAGAAAGGCGAGGCATTCATGTTCATGTACATGTACATGTATGCCACTATACCTGCTATACATTTTGAGAAGACAGGTGGTAGGGGCAGAGAGAGAGAGAGAGAGACACACACACACACACACACACACACAGAGGAGAGAGACAGAGACAGACACCCAGAGAGAAAGAGACACAGAGAGAGAGAGCGACAGACTGAGAGAGACAGACAGACAGAGAGAGAGAGACAGATATAGAGAGACAGACACAGAGAAAGAAAGAGAGAGACACAAAGAGAGAGAGAAAGACAGAGAATGGGAGAGAGAGAAAGAGAGAGGAAGAGAGACAGAGTCAGTGAGAGGGAAAAACAGAGATAGAAAGATACAAACAGAAAGAGAAAGATAGGATGACAGAGAGAAAGAGAGAGAGAGAGAGTGAGAGGGGGAGAGAGGGGGTTCCTGAGAGTACTGAGATTAAGAGAAAGAGAAAGAGAAAGGGGAGATAGATTGAGAGTGGAAGAGGAAAGAGACAAACAAAGAGAGAGAGAGAGAGAGAGAGAGAAATAGAGAAGTGGGAGAGATGATGAGAAGAATACAAAAACAGATGTGATGTGAGAACATAGGATAAGATTCCAGAAGTTCCAGGTTTACAAAGAGTAGAGCATATCACTATTCCAAGATAATGATGAGATATGCAAAAACAATATAGATCTAGACTACATGAATCAAGCCAATATTTCAGAGGATTCAATTTGTTACCTAAACATGACTGTCACAATACAAAAAAAAATTGTGATTAATAACTTGTGATCAAAAGGCAAAGGGGTACCCAAGTAATTAACTGAGGAAAAACAAATATTCATATATGATATATCAATAATGAAAGGGATGATTGCACACAATGATAATGATGAAAATTCTGTGATAGGAAGGAGAAAAAAAATATGGATCAAAACTAAAGAAAATTCACAAAAATCAGCTTTTTCGCGACTAATAACCTTAATAACAGGAAAATGCAATCAATTCAACTCACCTATGTTGGAAAAAATAATTTTTAAATTGAAATCATCTAACGCGACTCTACTGAATTTCAAATGATCCGCGTATTGTGCTAGTGCTGCAATTCTTTAGCAGATGAAGTGCATTATTGTCTCGTTGGCAAGCCGGAACTCCGGGCAGGGCAACTCCCTCTGCCTGTTGTTGTATGCCCATCCGGCCCCACACAACCATACGATTCACGTTAACAGGCACTTTGGCTCCGCAGACAACTGCATTTTTCCGATCTTTCATTACAAAATGGCGTATACTGTGAATTACCATATACTGAATGTATATTTTCTAATACATAATTTAAAGTAAAAAGAAATGTAATAAAAAGGTAAGGCCTAGAGAGTACTCACCAAATTTGAGTCCACCCACTTTACGAAACGTTGTAAAGAATTTATCACGAGGTGGCGCTCTTTACCTCTATGATTTCAGTCTAGTTGTGGATAGCGTGTTGAAATAGATTTATGTAGATGACTAATTGTTATTATCAAGTTCAAGTTTATTCAAACCAAATCAAACATAAACAATGGTACAAGATACAACAGCAAGGAACACAAGAATGATAGCGGGTTTGGGACCCCAGTGAAGCACAGCTTGTGAACGGGGCCCCTTTACACAGTAGACTAGACAGTAGGTATATAATGGCAAGGAGTAATATATGTAACAACATAACAAGTTATGCAGATGAGTGTATATATACCCCCACCCCCCAATTACAGCACATACACAAACACACACACACACACAAATAACGTACACTTCATACATGGCTACCTCATCTTGTTTTATACATTTATGTACCTAATATCAATCTGTCGAAAAGGTGTTTTTTTACAAGATATTTTAAACCGAGACAATGTAGTACTACTAATTATATTATGGGGTTACTTAATCCACTTTTTAACATAGACAGTTCTAAAATTAATGATTTTAAGGCAGTATGGGTCCTGGCGTATGCCTGATGGATAAGGTTACTCTGACGAGTACTATACCGACTCCCGCTAGATCGATAAGCTACCTCTTGCGGCCGTCACCCGCCCCCCCCCCCCCTCCTTTTTGCCGGTCTGGCTTTAAACGCGTATACGGGCGCGTACAGCAGGATTTTGAACCATTTTGAAAAAGTATCCTTTTTCTTGAAAATGGCCCCAAATCGACATTTTTGAACACCGGACCGCGTCCAATATATGTAAAACACCACTTTAAACGCGTTTTCTTGGTCACGCATGCTTACAGTATTTATATTTGACTGAGACCCCCGGGCAAAAAGTGTTGCTTAATGACGAAAGGATTGTGCTCTTAACATCATACACGACACAATAGTTATCCCCCGGTTAAGATCTCCTCCCATCCCAGTAGTAATCGAATCTTGAACTAAGTTTTGATCTCGAACTTGAACTTGAAATTCATTTTCCACTTTCAAAGGATCAACACAAACACAAAAATCACATAACATTGAAATACACATATTGAAAAACATAATGAAAGTTCATATAAATATTATATGGTTAAAAAGTAATACATTTTACACAATAAAATAAAACGTTACTACACATACACAAATTTTTAGAAGTGGATAAATACTCAGTACGTATAATATAACTTAAAATTGACAATCCAATCCAAATTCACTCAAGCATTAAGTCCATTTTCTGCTGCTAGGTCAGGAAAGCTGAATGGATTCTTACTCAACTGCATGTCCACTCATTTGGACTGACTTTATTATATAAACATGTTTCATTTTACTTGTTCAGTGGCATACATCATATTATTGTTCTACGCATGCATGAGCTGTCGTATCAAAAAGGATTTTGTGAATTTTTTGTGGTGTTTTTCTTTTATTCTCGAAAACAATTACGCTTCTTCCCTAAAAACTCACTCAAAGTTGAAAATTGAGCATGTAAATGAAATTTAATAGCATCACTTCCATTGTTTCAATCATGCGTGAATTATGAAAAGTAAGTTGTGGATCGAATGAAAGAAGAGCATGCATGTTTATCTCATCAAAGAAATTATTTATTATGATAGAAAATTTCTGCCATGAAATCCGGTTTCATTTTGGGGGGACGCACTGTATAGTTTATATAAAAGTGCACTGTTCAGATTCGGTTTCAACATAATTATCTTAACGAAAAAAAGAAAGTTATAGATAGGATGTACGTCTGTCTTGGATGGTTCAATCTCGTATTTAGATCTATCAGTATCGTTCGCCAAATACAGATTTGCATGGAAACAACTAAAATCAAATATAGTAAGGACTTCCGTCAACCTTTTCCTTCCCTGTCAACAACAGCTCATGAATGTCTTAGCTCATTTTTTATTCTGTATTCGAAATGAATAGAAATTTAGACTGCATTTTCTAAGCTTCTGTCGTATTTAAGCTATATCGTGTTTTTCGTACAATATTAGAAATAAAAATAAAGGATTTGAGCACCGCAAGTGTTTTTCCAGACATTTGACGTGATACCATTACATCTGAAATATCACGAGAAGTAGTCGTTGATATAACATGAAATGACACGGACCTTCCATTACACTATATATTTATGCATACCCACGACACTCAGTACTCTCCTCCTGAACAATTATTTTAAAAAATTATGTCAAACATTTATCTTTTAATCTCGTTAACAAAATTGTGAATGATATAGCTTGCTTAAATCATATTTCCTACTATACATTACAACTCGAAAGACTCTTATGAGACCATAATATGGCTCAATATCGATAGATTACAAATATGAACGGCTAGGTTGGCTTAATTGGGTTCAAAACAATCAAAACAAACATGCGCTGATTTTAATAATATGACTACGCATGAAGCATGAGCAATGATCGACAACTGACATTTACGTGATATTTACATTCCATGGGTGTTTATAAGTGTCATAAGCCATGATGGCAATGTGGAGCTCGTATAAATGAAGGAATGGAACAAAAAGCATCCCGACGACTAGTCCTATATTACCTTCAAAGAACATACTCAAGACAGGCCATGCTGAGCTAGATCCTTTCTCATGAACCAGACTATCAAACAGCCATTGGGTTGCATTGGTCATCCCTACACTAAGTAGGCAAAGGAGAGTCCACCTCCTTTCATTGTAGTCTTTGGGTTGCTGATGCTCCAACTGTAAGATGAATGTACACTGGATGCATTTACAGAGAAAGCCAAAGACACAACTGAAGATGCTCACCACGTTCAGTACCATTTCATCACAGGACAATTCAGAACCTGACATGAGGTTACCTAAGGACGACACGAGGCAAAACATATCTAATAAACAGGCTCCAGAAAGTGAGAGTAAAAGCATTATGATATTTTTCTTTGATGGTTTGTGAGCATAGGGTCCAGTGCGTCTGTTCGAGTAGTTATCACCTTTACGAGTCATGTTCGTCTGCTTCATAATGACCAACAACTCCGGTGTGAAAAACGCCATTCTTAACAGCCATTGCGTGTAGCGGCCACGGAGTTTTGAGTCTCCAGCTAGAAGGTAATTGCTAATCCCAAAGTATATGACGCATATAAACAAAGTCATTGATAAAGCTTTCTCTATTTCGTTCTGCAGAGATATATCATGGCGAGGATGACTCGAAATCAAATTGTTGTCCATTCTGTTGCCTAAATTACCACTACGAACATTCATGGAAAAGTCAAACTCCATCTCAATGTTATTATTGAGTAATAAAGAGCGTTCCGATTTGTTTGGGGAAAGTTTTCTCCTTTTCAAAATTGTGTTGGTAAAGTTCCTTAAGGTGATCCAATTAGATCGTCGAGTAATGCATTTAAAACATCCAATGGACTGACCTGAATGTTTCATCAGAGTTTGGACTTGTCTTGGAAGATTCTGCGACCACATTTCAATCAGCACAGATGTCATCATTACCGGAAACTCCACTGAAAATGGCTGAGAGATATCATGGAAACCCTTTAATATCTCACCTAATGTGCTATTAATTGGACAAGCGTAGGGTGAACGGTTTTTACCATTAGCAAGAATTGCAAATGGTCTCACCAGTTTCTGGATAGATATCCAAACACCGACTTGAATTAAGAGGAGAAAGGACCACCAGATCTTAGGCACTGCTACAAAGTGAGCATCATAAAAAGTAGGGATTAGATAAAAACTAAAAATGTAAACCAACATGAATAAGCTTAAAAGGACCAATAATTGAATGATTAGTTCAGTGTTTGTCTCGGCTTTAGCATTTTGTGGTGAGTGTTCGTTAAAGCATAGAAAGATGAATGCTATTTTAGGAAGAATGAAAAGGAGAAACAGAACTGAAAATATATACGCTATGTTCAGCGTTACATTGCTGACCGTAGTATTATGGTCGATCAGTTCTTTCCTCCAGGAATGTGGAATCCTGTTCAGAGAAACTGTTCCCTCATCTGCATTTTTTGTGTCACGGAGCTTGATCTGACTAAATACTTTTAAACAGTGCTCGCAACGTCGAGGCCAAAGCACCAATCCCTGTTTATGCAACTGCCCTACCTTCAAAATCAACCATATCGTGCCTACTAGTGCAGATAACACGAGCAAAGTCACAATGATGTTGCGAAGGACGTAAAAAATAGCGAAGAATGTGTTTGCAGAATGTTTCCTAGGTAGAAGAGGTACACACATGACAAGGAATCCTGTTGCTGCCATGACAGACATCACGACAGGAGAGGCGCTAGCCTCCGGGGAGATTCTACGCACTGGTCCAAGATCAGTGATCCTTTGGTCCTGATCATCATAGGACGTTCTAGTTCTAGCGCCAGGTCTACCTTGATGATCACAAGGATATTTCTCCATGTCGTGGTTAAGATGGTCGATATCCATACTATCAATGTCTTCAGCGTGGATTTCAATGGTGCTTGTTAGAAGGTTTTGATCACAATGTCCCTCCATCGTTAAGATGTGTCGATGATGATGACGTTGATGAGGATGAAAGGGATAACGAGGACGTTTAAGTTGGTATACCTTCTTGTCTAGTGCAGCTATCGACCAATGATTTATTTCTCACTGGTAACTTTAATCAAGGCTATGCGTATAGTAAAAGGAAATCTAAATACAATTGTAAGCGAACCCATGCAGTCAACATAGTAACATTGCATATGAATGGTCAAGTTGGTGCCTTCATACATTACACCATGTTTGTATGAGTATTATCATTTCTCTTACTTCGCAACCTCCCATCTGGATGAAGTACTTCCTTCCTGCTGAATACGAAACAGAAAGAGAACATTATTGCTTTGTCGCTTTGTTATTTTATATGCCCTAATGACCTGTATTGTGTCTTCATACACAAAATGTTTCACTTCCTCTCACGAAGAGATCAAGATCAAACTAAAAACTATTTTTTAAACAAACACCGAGGGTCCCTTGGATCACTGAATCATGTTACCTATAATAAATCTGACATAACAAACATTTAGTTGAATGATGGAATTGTTGATCAGATCCTAGGGACAAAAGTTAATATTTTTTCTCCAGTCTTTGTCAAGTAAAGTACTCTCTTGTCCTGTTCTCGCCTATGGCACCCCCTTTTTTCTTCTTGTTTCTAGTTCCTTTTTGTAGTTAAAAATGTGTTAATTTAATTACTCATTATTCCTTACTATCATTACAATAGTATATTATCTATACAATATATGGATAGAGTATCTGTACAAATGCGATGGACAGCAATTATTGACAGAAATTGGACCTCTTAATTGTTACGCAAACTGATTCTGAGCTTCATGTACTTACTTTGCGAATAGCGGGGATTTTAAGCATTGGATTAAGCACGAATTGCTCTCTGATGGACTGTACTCTATACTTCACGAGGAAACAATATTCAAACCAAACAATAGCCGTGTAGCTATATACTGTTACAGAAATTGGATGCTCGAACGATTAAAAAGGGAGGTCTGAATTGGAGACTAGCTTCAATTTGGGCGAGGTTTTTGGGAGTGTGTAAAAGTTTGGAGCTGAGGCCGAGGTAGTTTGGAGACAGACAGATTTTGTGAGAACTTAGAGTTAGGAGCTGGGAGGATGTTGCTCGGGAGCATCATCAATTAGCCAAAGGGCAAGAACTAGTATAAATGTGAGTTAAGTGTAACTGTTATTAGGTTGTGGCAAGTAAATATATTGGATATCACCACCATGTTTCTTGTGAATAAACATCAGTTACTTAAAAATCATTGTTCGATAACTCCTTTCTCTCAGAGACTGTAATTGTATGTGTGTATGACTTGGCCCTGGCCTTGCGTGAGCATTAATTTAGGCTAGACTAAACATCTACCCCTGCAGTCTTTAAATTCCCCATTTTCTTATAAAAGAATTCCCAAAAGTTATTACACTGGTGTCAGAAGTGGGATTTGAAAGGTGGAATTTTAGAAGATTGTTAGGTCTAGTTAGGGAATAAGTCATATTTTGATTGTAGTATCAAGTTAAGATAGGTCAATGGCAGTAGCCTACGTTCATTGTCATTGGCATCGTACACCACTGCACTGCAAAAGCTCTGTGTGTATACGGGGAGCAACGCGTTGTATTGGTGTGTGTGTGTGTGTAGTAATGTTTTAGGATCGGTGCAGTGCATGTGCTGAGCAAAGGGAAAGTTGGTAGTCCGGCAGGCTAGATACAGCTAGTCTTGCTTTGCAGACCCGATAAGCTACTTTTGTTTGGGGAAGTTAAGATATAACTTAGTAGTAAATTTAGTCACTTTAGGTAACTTATTTTGATGGGATTGTTTTATTTGCCATTTAACTAATTAAATAATTTTAATCCCCTTTAGGATTATATTTTTCTTCATTGGATTTTATTGTGGAAAAGTTTAAACTATTAAAGTAAAATCTACTCACCAGAGTCGTCACTATATGTCAGAATCCGTCGATGCTGTCCTTTGCTGGTTGCTGTGATGATCTCCGTTGCTTGTAGTGCACTCCGATGCGTAGTCTATACTTCTGTTATCTGGTTACTGGTAATTCTGCCCCGGGCAGCGGGCTAAAAGCCCTTTATATACAAGCTCGCATGTACGTAGGTGCGACCAGGCAAAGCAACCCGACGTACGCACATGCGTGCGGCCCGTATACCCATAATTTCCCATATTCCTCCCGACTATAAAAACAAGCGAAAGATAAAAAACAAATAGTCTTTAGCTTGTAAATAGAGCCGGATATTGGGAGGGTATACAAACTTAAAAAGGGTGGGCTCTCGAGAGCTCCAAACCCTCCTGAAGGGGTGGGCTCTGAAGAGCACCAAGCCCCCTCGCCATACCTCCCGGAGCGGGAGGGCTCTTCAGAAGAAGAGCACCACGACTCTCCCCTACTCCCCAGCTGGGGCAAGGGAAACTTCTCCAGCAGCTGAAGCCGGCTGGGGTGATTCCCGGTCAAGGCTACATCCAGCTCCACAATGATTGGTCACTCGTACGCGATGAATCGAGATTGCATCGCACCCGTTTGACCGCCATCGGGGGGATGGTTACTGACTTCGCAAAGAATACTTTTTATTCACATCTTCGCCACAGGTCATTTCTATACACTCGCCCTGAAAGGTTAATAAGGAATCCGGTATATTGATGTATGCACGATGTTTCCGCAGGAGGTCTGCCTCTAACAACATGTCATCATCGATTGGGGCAACACAAACATGTTCACTGAATTTGCTGCCACCCAAAATCAAATCAACCGGTCCCACAATCATTCCAGTTGGCGACGAGGATAGTATACCTCGGCAGCCGTGTGTACTACTGCCCGAATGGGTTTGTCACCAATCCATAATTTTATGTTTATACTAAAAGTGGATGGTGACTAATTACTGCGGCATACATCTGTCCATGTCCAGTTTTGGGTTGTCGGGATTCTGACCGGTAGGCGGTGGCCAGGGGGGTGTCAGCCATGGGCTTGGCTCCGTTGGAGGCCTGGCCCCATGGGTCGCACCCGCGGAAGGGGAGTGAGAAGGAAGCTCTTTCTTACTAGAGATTGGGTTGGGAACTTCCCCCGGCACTTCCACTTTACCGATGCTGTCCTGGCCGCCACCAATCTGCTTAGATTCGTGGATGTTATCATTAATCGTAGCATCAGAGGAAACACCATGAATCCCCGTTTCCGGGGGAGGCGAATCCCTTCCAAATGCTACTGAATTATTGTCCACTGGTACACCCTTATCCAAACCCAAAACGGGATGTGGGTTCACACTAGTTGTAGCATCAGAGGAAACACCATTAATCCCCGTTTCCGGGGGAGGCGAATCCCTTCCAAATGCTACCGAATTATTGTACACTGGTCCACCCTTGTCCAACCCCAATGCTGATCCAGAGTCGTTTCCCGGGTCCTCGGAGACGAAGGAAACCTTAAGTCCGGGACTTCTCTCGGGACATTCTATTTTAAAATGTTCTAATTTCCCGCACTGGTAGCAGGCCATATTCCGGCCCGGTAAGAAATTCCCCCGGGCGGGAGAGGCTCTGCCCCTGAAGCGGGCGGGAGAAGCTTGCGACTTTCTCACGCTGTCAACCAGACTCTGGACTGAAGTCTGTAAGAGCCCTATCACTGAAAGGGACGTCTTCAGCGCTTCAATTATCGAGTCCATCTTGCCCTCCATCTTATCCATCTTGCCCTCCAGAGAAGTAACCCTCTTTTCCAAGCCGCTTTGTGCCGGAGGGGTTGGGGGCAAGTTCGATTTCCTAATGGTAGGAGCCTTATCGGACTGTGACTGTGAGTCCCGAATAGGTGGGTGCATCGTCCTCCTCACATGGGGTGGCGATTCGAATTCTACACCCTCGCTACTCTCCCCTCTCTGATCCCGCCTACGCAGATCATGCGACCTACGAGGGGATCTACGATATGGGGAAGGAGACCTAGGACGTTGGCCTCTTGACTCACTACGGTCACTCCTGTGACTTCGAGGGGAATCCTGGTCATAATAGCGATATTCTCGCTCCCTACTATTATCATACCGGTCACCCCTCCGGTTTTGAGGTGAATCAAAGCGACTCCCTCTGTCGTCTGATCGAGGGGAGTGATGACGACTCCCTCTGCAATCTGATCGAGTGGAATCATAGCGATTCCCTCGGCGATCTGATAGAGGGGAATCATAGCGACTCCCTCGTTCGCTGAATCGAGGTGAATCATTGCAACTCCCTCGGCGATATGATCGAGGGGAGTGATGACGACTCCCTCTGCAATCTGATCGAGGGGAATCACAGCGATTCCCTCGGCGATCTGATCGAGGGGAATCACTGCGACTCCCTCTGCGATCTGATCGAGGGGAATCGCGGCGACTCCCTCCGTGATCCGATCGAGGGGAATCATGGCGACTCCCTCGGAGACCTGAACGAGGGGAGCGATGGCGACTCCCTTGGCGATCCGATCGAGGGGAGTCATAGCGACTCCCTCTGCGATCCGACTCACCTACAGCCTCATATTGGTCGCGGGGCCTAGAATGGCCCTGTCGCGACCTGCGAGGGGGAGAAACAGTATACACTTTACGTGACTATCAACCTTAAAAAAATGACTAAGTATTACAATATTGCACAAGAATTGCTCAATCAAACAAACAATTCTTTACTAACTTAGTATTACAATATTGCACAAGAATTGCTCAATCAACCAAACAATTCTTTACTAACTTAGTATTAAGATATTGCGCAAGAACTGTTCAATCAAACGAACAATTCTTGACTAACTTACTATTAAAATATTTCGCGAGAATTGTTCAATCAAACGAACAATTCTCCACTAACTTACTATTAAAATATTATGCAAGAACTGTTCAATCAAACGAACAATTCCCTACTAACTTACTATTAAAATATCACGAGAGAATTGTTCAATCAGGCGAACAATTATTTACTATTCTGTTATACAGAATGTTAATTTACAAACGGAGACTTTTCCTGATAAACAAACCCAAATAATTTCAATCCAAATTCACACTCAAATATTCAAACATTCAAGTACAGAATTCAATTCAAAGAAGGAGACTTGTCCTCAAATAATTCAAATTCAAACCCAAATATTCAAACACAATATTCAAGGCCGCTGATAAAGTCCCTATATGTCCCTGGTTGTGGACACTCAGACTAAATTCAACCGCTCACATGAATTTGTATTCTTTAGAAATATTTGTATGTCCCCGCAATATATCTTTGGCGGAGTAACTTACACTACGATTAATAAATTAATTAATTTCCTATCAATAAATTTAAATACGATATATTCAAACACAATATTCACAGCCGTTGATTAGGTCACTATGTCACGGTTAACATTCAGACCTAATTCAACAGCTTGATAAACTTGTATTTTTAAATATATATTTGTATTCACTACAGTAACTTAACTACGATTTATAAAATATAAACCCTAACAGTATATTTAATTATATGCCCTTGCCTACAATCATTGAACCCAATAAATCATTCGGAGCGAGAAGCCCGTTACTTAAAATTGTAAGAGGGCAACTCTGCTTCCAAACTGATTAATTGTAAGAGGGCAACTCTAATTCAAAAATGATTAATTAATTGTAGGAGAGCAACTCTAATTCAAAAATGATTAATTAATTGTAGGAGAGCAACTCTAATTCAAAAATGATTAATTAATTGTAGGAGAGCAACTCTAATTCAAAAATGATTAATCAAATTAGCGATGATCAATTAAATTAGCGAAGATTTAATTCCAGCAGCAATGCAATAACCACTGTGGTTCACTCTCCCTCCCCACTCACAAAAAATCGGCACTCCGAAATTGGGTGGAAAAAACAATTTCAATAAGAGGTGAATGAACCCCAAATCACACCAAGCAAATACTTTCACTCCCAAACAATCAAAAATATCAAAGATAATACGCCAAAGCCAAGGTAAATGAAGGGATAAACCCAGCCTCAAACAATCACTCATACAAGGTACGCACCCGAAAAACTCCAACCCAGTATAACAATAAGGTACCATAGGGTATGGGGTGCGGTACACAATAGAAGGAATGCAAAAATAGCGTCTAGGGCGTGCCGACGTGGCGTCCCTTGCCACACCCAATAATACAAAAATCGCTAAGAAAACGGGTCCTAAACTACTACTCTACGGAAAAAACCCTAAAATTACGACCTACAATAATTAGAAGAAGAAATAACAAGCGATATACGGACTTGTTACTTCTCCTCGGGTCCACGGAGTTGTCCGCGAGAACGCCGTAGATCGACATAGATCTAGTAAATAACAAGTCAAAATACGGCTCGAAACTTACTGCTACAAACTTACGACTATACAAATACAAGTTGCACAATAATATCAAGCGCAACGATAAACTCGCTCAATTTAATTGCGCAGGAACGAGTGAAGACTCGCAGCGCCACTAAAGTAAAATCTACTCACCAGAGTCGTCACTATATGTCAGAATCCGTCGATGCTGTCCTTTGCTGGTTGCTGTGATGATCTCCGTTGCTTGTAGTGCACTCCGATGCGTAGTCTATACTTCTGTTATCTGGTTACTGGTAATTCTGCCCCGGGCAGCGGGCTAAAAGCCCTTTATATACAAGCTCGCATGTACGTAGGTGCGACCAGGCAAAGCAACCCGACGTACGCACATGCGTGCGGCCCGTATACCCATAATTTCCCATACTATACTGAACCTGACGTGAAATTTGTATAGGGATTTTAAATACAGTAGCCTTATAGTTTCCATTTATGAAACTTCTAAATAAAGCAAGAGTAGGCTCATGAAAGTAACAGGGGTTTAGGGTGATACACAGTTGTTGAAGTGACTATCGACTCTCAACCATGCATCGCTCACGGATCTCGTCACGTACGCGTACAAGAGGGAGGGGTCGCCTTTCGAGTCCTCTAGGAGTTGGCGCCCTCCTACAAGCGTTTGAGAAGTTTGCGGAAAGTGCCGTCAGTAACCAGGCTGAAATTATAGCGCACCTTGACAGATCTTCCACAGCACAGCAGGGTATTGAAAGGCGTCTGCAGGTGCTGGAAGCCAGAGTTGGAGACCAGAGCCCAGTGACATCACCAAGTGTTCAGAGAAAGCAAGTAGAGGCCTCAATGATGGCAGAGGGAAACGGCAACTAGTCGTGTTCGAGGAGCGGAACACGGCTAGAAATGGCAAGGCTCCTGTCATTACATCCCTGGGTGGAGAAGCAGAAGGACTCTTCCTCAGAGGGGTGATGGTTGGCAGGACACTTTTGAATCAGCATACCCAATCTTCACAAGAAGGTAATTGTGTAGGTAAATGTGAGCGAGTTGATGTTGTCATTGATGTTGAATCTCAAGAGGAAAATGTTGGAGAAGCAGGAGAAGTCACAGGCGAGTTCGCTCCGCGTTTAAGGTCGCTGCCTGAAAGAAGCAGCGTAGGATTGTCTGAGGGACAACCAGAAGAAAAGCGGGAGTTGTTACTGAGACGACAAGACCTGTTCTCCAAGGGATCCATGGACTTGGGACAGACAAGCATAGTCGCACACAAGATAGAGACGGGTGATGCTGAACCTAGTTTACCCCTAGCTAAGAGGGAGGAGGCTGTCAGAGCTATTGATGAGATGAAGTCTCAAGGAGTGATAGAGCCAGCATCAGGAGAATGGGGTTCAATGATTGTACTCGTTAAGAAAGATGGCAGTATGCGTTTTTGCGTGGAATATCGATGTTTGAATCGGGTGACAAAGAAAGATTCTTACCCGCTTCCTCGTATTGACGACATCTTAGATGCATTGACGGGCTCCCAGTGGTTTTGCGCCCTTGACCTGTATTCCGGATATTGGCATCCTCGAAGGAAGAAAGGTGTATCACCTAAATTGATGTCAGACTTGTGAGACCCTTACTCTGTTCTAAAGAAGATAAACGATGTAGTCTACAGGATCCAGTTGACGAAAAGGAGTAAACCAAGAGTGGTTCACAGAGAACGTCTTTGCAAGTACAAGGGACAGAAGGAGCCCTGGCTCCATGTAAGTGATGATAATTGTTCTTTCATTACCGTAGCAACTAGCAACACAAATTAGTACTGAGGAGCATTCCAAGCTCAGCGAGAGACATCAAGTGTGACAACCTGATGATGCTCTGGATGAAGAACCCTCGAGAGAAAACAGTCACGAGCATCAGCATCGTCAAAGGAAGTCTCCCAATAGATATGGTTGGGATTAGCTGGTAACTTTGACAGCTGTGTATCACGGTTATCACATTGTCTATAATTGTAGTGGATTACATTTACACATAGTTATGGTTATGCTTACGACTAGCTGGTTCTTTTCACATTAGCAGAGCTAGAGTGCTTGAAAGTCAGTACCTGTTTCCAGCAGGGATACAGCACAGTTCTGTGTGGGAAGTTTTCAGTGAAGTTGCTGTGTAACTGCTTATAAAACAAATATGGCAGAATTCTTTTTTTTGTATATTGAGATTATAATAAGTTTTTATAATAATATTGCCACAACCTAGTTAGTTGCATTTTCTCTTATTACGGCTATTTATATGAAAGCCAATTTTCTGCATGTGTATACCTAATATACGCATATATGGTTTTACCACTCTGGTACACCTTTTTCTGCAAAAGATGTTATTTTGTTGCAGAAATATCTACTTGGAAGCCAGAATTGGATGGCAGATTTTCTCCATCACGTAGCTGAGGCCTGACGAGCGGATAGTGAGGTACCTTACCGAGGAAGCTTCAAGCCAGGACGCGAGATGCCAGTACCGCAAGACGCCGGGATGCCGTCCCAAAGTATCTTCACGCGTGTTGGATGAGCGAATCTGGTCTCTATGGCAACGTGTGTCGGATGAGCGTATCTGGTCTCTATGGCAACACGTGTCGGATGAGCAAATCTGGTCTCCATGGCAACACGTGTCGGATGAGCGTATCTGGTCTCCATGGCAACGCGGTTCGTGTTTATAATGGTGAACAATTTTGATAATGCCATGCAATTTTATGCAGCCTTACGAAATCCATCAAACTTTGAAAACTTTTATAGTGAACACTTGCATGGACTATAAGTGGAGTTTCATCTATTGCATTGATTAGAGGAACAAATAATTGGTGACAGGACTTCATTTAGCTGAAGCAACTTTGGAGACGCAAATGAACTTAAGGAGTCAAACACTTATTCCATTACGCTGCTGAACTTTTCGAATGAACCAGTCGAACGTAGAACTGAGGGACCAACATTTTGGTGTTATTAGCATTCCTCGATATTGAACTTGTGAAGAGAAACACAAATATTGTTAAGTGTTCTTATAAAGGAGGATTTGTAGGAATCACATTACTATGATGTATCAAAGAGAGTAGAAAGAATGAGAAAACTGTAGTGGCTTTCTCGCATTAGGTGTAATCACAGATGAGCGATTAACTCATCTGAACTCGAAATGTGGAATTGATTTGTGCCGTTCTGTAATAACAGATAATAGCAAATGGACGCTTTGCCTTTTTTTTTTTCTTCTAATGTCTTAAAGTCATTTTGAAATCTATGGACAATCATGCATGATCATGTTTTTACAAGATCAGGTTATTTTGTAAAAACAATTTTGTTTTGTATAAATTCTTCTATATTGGCAGTTGAAATGAGCGTTTCCGCTTTGGCATATAAATTCAGAGTATTGTTATGTTTTTTTTTTTCAGGGTTGTACTTATGTGTTGTTGGCAACTCTAATTTTGCTAACCAAACCAGTTTAAAATGAACCGAGATATCCCATTTGTTGTTACCAAAGAGGACGAATACCAAACTTGATGGTTATACCAGAATAACCTTTAACTTTTGCCATATTTAAAGGTGATATTGAAAAGAAAAAAAAAAGTGTTTTTGATTATATCCAGTTTTTTTTTTCTATAGTGATTATTACTTAAGTGTGCAACAGGCTGAACATGTTGACCAGAGTCACCAGACTGATGTGGAACAACAATTATATTCACGTATGATGTATTTTGTTCTGGTATACTGAGAGTTGAAGTCCAGTTTATTGTATTGATATTTGAAATTTACGATCAATGATATCAGGTAAGATGCATATGCTGCATGCTTTGTCTCATTTTGCAAGTGCTTTTATGTATGCATTCGCCACAACCTAAGAATTGTTTTGTGAGGCTGAAACAAAGATAATTTATGTATGTTTATAAATGACTGTGCCATGCTAATGTGCTACTTTAGAAATTATGATGATTTCTTTCAGGTTTTCCTATTCTGTGTTTTCCATGCTTCACATTTTTAATAATGTTGTTATTTTTTTAGATTTAGTATTTTACATTTCTTGTTATCTTTATTGTTGTTTTACTGACAGGTTCCTGTTTTGAAGTTCCTAGTGTTGAACGAGACGTTCAAAGTTAAGGAGGGGGCAGTGTTACAGAAATTGGATGCTCGAACGATTAAAAAGGGAGGTCTGAATTGGAGACTAGCTTCAATTTGGGCGAGGTTTTTGGGAGTGTGTAAAAGTTTGGAGCTGAGGCCGAGGTAGTTTGGAGACAGACAGATTTTGTGAGAACTTAGAGTTAGGAGCTGGGAGGATGTTGCTCGGGAGCATCATCAATTAGCCAAAGGGCAAGAACTAGTATAAATGTGAGTTAAGTGTAACTGTTATTAGGTTGTGGCAAGTAAATATATTGGATATCACCACCATGTTTCTTGTGAATAAACATCAGTTACTTAAAAATCATTGTTCGATAACTCCTTTCTCTCAGAGACTGTAATTGTATGTGTGTATGACTTGGCCCTGGCCTTGCGTGAGCATTAATTTAGGCTAGACTAAACATCTACCCCTGCAGTCTTTAAATTCCCCATTTTCTTATAAAAGAATTCCCAAAAGTTATTACAATACCATAACATAAATTGTTTATTATAACCGTCGTGAAACAGAGATAGGCTATACATGCCTATTCAAAGTCTCTCTGTTCAATTGCCCCACTAAGTCAATCAATGTCGAATCCTTGACAATCCCATGCATGATACAAATGAATTGTATTGAATTGAATTGAAGTGAATTGAAAGTCACATTTCCGTTTCATCTTCGGTACAATATTATTGAAATATAGGCACAGTAGGCCTAAATCATTTTATGAAATAGAAAGAGGCGAAAACCCGGAAAGCCAAAACTTAAGTTTGGAACGTCCACTTCACATAAAAACAAGTTACTCAAAAAAATCATTAGAATACGTTTCTTGCTTCTCAATAGGAAATCAATAGCAGAAAAGAAAATACATGCAGCAGTTAGAGACAAACTGAGAAGATAGTT